CCACATACATCTCGTTAGTGTGCCACAATCTTCTTATTCAGCACCAAAGTGACTTCCTCACCTATGAAAGCTGAAAACACAGACTGCATTAAGAGACCGGTGAGTTTTGACTGCAGATGTCTGCTTTCAGACTGGAGTACTAGATTTGTAGCAAAAAGCTGCTTGACTAGAAAGAGACTTTTCACCAAATCCATGGTTGGCTCACGCCTAGAATTTTATTCAATCCATTCAAAAAATAGACAGAACTATAAGGTGGCACACATTGTCAGAGAGTACAAATGTCACATCTTCCTTTATACAGTTTAATTTAAATCCATAGATTAAGATAGTGAAATAATTGCCCTGGGTGGGAAAATAATTAAGGGTCTTCAGTGAAAGGACAAATCTTCAGGTAAGCGTTTACATAAATGTATCTGGTTAAGCATAACTTTTTCTATCCTCTATAAAAATATAAACCACATATTTTGAAATGTCTTTAGATAGGTTTAAGGTCATCTAACATGGCATTAATGTACTGACAGAATATAGGGCCTGGGCATGTCCAACAACACTGAGTAATCCATGCCTGGCCAAAATCAAAACATTTTGTATGAGCTTCAAACATAATACAATATAATGAACGAAACAACATCAAACCAAAGATACACACGTATGATGTTCCTCCTCCCGTATGAATTCATTATCTTTGTATTTTTTTGTTAATATGGCAATGACAAAAGTGTCAGTTTTGCACAGGTTAACTGTAACTCGGGATCAAGTATGAGTTGCTTTTCCCAGCAAGTAACATTGCTGGGAAGCGACATGTGCCAGGATCAAATTAAGGGCACTCACTGTCATGTATGTTCTACCTGTGTGGGATTACTCTGATACTGACTGTCGTGTCTGACAGGAGGACAAGTGCAAATTACAAGGGCAGAATCTTGGCTTCCCAGACAGCAGAACCAGGAGGTAAAAGTAAGACTAAACAGTATTTTCAAAGGCAAGAAGAAAACAAAACCAAAAGCCAACTTATCTAAACTTTAAACAATGGGATGTAGTGTGTTCCTGGTCCAGCTGTCATAAACACACCCGATGTTTTCCAGGGATGCAATCTGATAGCTAAACACCTAATGGTTACTGCAAGGACTCATTGGTTCAACACAGGTTAAAATGTTTGAATACACTGAATATATTGGTCACAGGTCTAATCACATAATTTCCCTATTCCCAATCCTAAATTTGTGTTGGAGCAGCTTCCCCATCAGCTGTGTGTTTGTACAGCAGAGCACTCCATGTTGGATTGACTAGCACGTACGCCAACAACAGCTGATATTTTCCAGTTAAAAGTAATCTACAAGTGGGAAACAAAACCTAAGGGAAGGGTCAGGTTTCAGATAGAGGTTGTACATTTTGAACTTTGGACAAAGTGACAGGTATCTTTGATTCTCCTGGTGCTGGCGCTTTTGTGACTGGGTTTGCATGGGCTTTTATATCAGCTATTCTCTCTTTAAATCTTTGCTGGAGGTACTTTTCTTCTTTGGAGTAACTTTGAGCAAAAGCGGACATCAGCAGACACGCTGCCACAGTGGACCCTCCAATGCAAAACAAGATTGCTCCTGCCAGCTTGCATATATCAAGGGACCCGTTAAACTGAATGGCACGCGTATCCACCACAATAAAATCATCTTTCCCAAGAGCTTCGATTTTTGGTGGCACAAGAAAACCCACTACAAGAACCGTTAAGCCTATCAACATGAAAGCCGTTCCAGAGATGAGTCCGACCTGGAAAACAAAGAGAGAAACAAACAAACAAAAAAAAACAAAAAAACCCAATTAATATGGCTTTCTGGTTATTAGTTGGCAAGTGGTCCTAGGAGGCACTTAGCTTTCACAGTGTCTTGCGGGTACAGCTCTCTTCTATGAGAAGTCTGGTATTTTTCTTTCAGGTCATATGTCACCCTACTACAACTAGAATACATGGAGAAACTGTCTTTTTACAGCTCATAACTCTACAATCCAGCACTGACATTTCTGGAAACAATGCAATATGCACCTATATAAATCTAAATAGCATTCCATGTCCAAAGGCCCATCACAGAGAGGAGCACAGTTTAAGCCCAGTGCTCTGTGACTGATTCTTTCTTCAGCTTTAGGTGGTGGATACACGAACAGTTCAGTCCCTGTTGATAGTCCATGTCATATACACCACTTGCTTTTACTCCATGAAATGTCAGTCCTTTGCAGGGATTAGAAGGAAGTTGCTATTGCTGTGAACAGATCACAGACTATTTCTAGCACATTTCAAGTGGAAGTGCAAAATTTGGTTCACCCAAAATGGCCCTAACCTACCAGTCCTACTCCTGATAAACTGACAGGACTATTCTGGGTGCAGAGCAGAGGTAAACTACACTGGCAAGCTATGGGTGGGGCTCCCCAGGCAAGGCTTTGAGGTTTCGGTGACATGAGTCCTTGTGACAGAGAAACTAGAGGATCCAAAGATCCCAGGACTCATTTGGAAGCTGCTGTATCTTGGTAAGAGTGCCCTGTTTTCAGGCAGACTCTTTTTCAGTCATCCCGGTGAAAACTCAGCAACAGAAGGCCTTTCTGGATGGATACCTAAAATCATTAGTTCTACGTGAAAACATCTCAAAATGGGAGTTTCTCTCTTGAGCAATGGGCAGTACCTTCCAGAAAGCAGAGCTCCACCTGCTAGGCGATCTCTGGATCTGAAAATCATCCTCATACTCCCAAATTGAAGCCGTGCAGTCCTCATAAAACTGATGTAGGTAGGACCGAACTCCATAGCGTTGGTACCCTCCTTCGGTGCTGCCCTGCGCGTGCTTGGACCCGCAGATGTCAGCATAGGAGCTCATCCTTCCTACCTGCAATGAGAGGTTTCATGCAAAGCAGATCTAGGTACTGATGTGGCCAGAGAGCAAAGCCAGCTACAAACTTTCCAGGTAACACAAAGAAAAGTAGCTGAGGAGGGACCTTTTTCCTCTCCTTCACTTTTTTTTTCCCCAGACCAAGAAATGAGTCTGGAAGCATTGCACGCAACAACTTGGCTCAAGCAAACCCGAAGCACTCAGCACCTTTGTGCACCACAGCCTGAAGGTGCTGCAGGGAACGTGCTCTCCCACACACAGGGTGCCTGCTCCCCATCCTTTGCACCAGCGTGCGACTGGGTTTCTGTGCAGATTGAAAAAAGCAGAGTATATCAAGTAACAAAAGCCAGCATCCCTCAAGGGCTCAAGCTGCCTCTCATGCAGACTCTGCTTCTATCAGTTAACTAGAGTTTTTAACCTTAGGAACTGTCCAAACTGCTGGATAATGTTGTGGTGGTTTTTTTTTGGGGGGGTGGATGGGGGGTGTTTTGGTTTTTTTAATGTTTTTGCCCCAGTTTTTGAACTGTAGGGCTAAGCAGTGATATAACATTCATAGCCATGAGGAACAGTGGCAAAAGAAGTCCTAGACAGATTGAAACTGTATATATCCTGTACAGGTATATATCCTATATATCAAATACAGGTAATTAAAAATGAAAAACATGGAATGCCATCACAGCACCAATCTGCCCAGTGAAGGGAGTGAAACAGACCCTGTGTAACACCCAGGCTCCTGCTGACTTTAATAAAATCAGAATTTTGACAGCTATGAAATTACCAACAATGTTCCCTACTCTTTCCATTTCATGGAAGTTCTCCTAATACACAAAATTTGTACTTAACTATGCAGGTTCCAAGCCTGAACTTGCTTGCCACAGGTGTGATGCTGCTGAATTCATTAAAGTAATACCAGCCCTTAAAAACCTTGAGCAACAATTCAATGTTACTTAAGCTGACGGACTTCTCTTTAAAGAAGTTCAAAAAGTCCTAGTCCAAAGGGAACTGTTAATCAGTACTTGCATCTGAATGTCACAGCTCAATTTGTATCGGCTTCAAGCAGTTCATCCGATTGCCACAGCAATTCTACTTGGAAGGAAGGAAAGAAGGAAAGTTTGACATGCTTGTGGCAGCTCAGACCTCCCAATTTTGCAGCCCTACAGCCCTTTTGCCCTTCAGGAATGGGTGATCCTGGTGGGTATGAAATCCCTGAGTGTGCAAGAAAAACACTGCTGCACTTAAATTAAGCAGAAGCCAGAAAGTATTGATGGGGAATGGCAACGGTCTGAATGGAGCTCTTGGCTGGCTCCAAAGTCACCGCTGGTGTTACAGTGATCTTCCAGCCTTTTGGAATCTGATTGCGTTCTTGGCTCCATGAGGGTCAAAGAAGGTTCTGCTTTTTCCTCTTTATTACCAATAATGATAAACTTGGGGTTTATTTACTTTGTGTATCTAACAGGTATTTCATTTGTGATTTCATGATCTCAGCATCTTATAATTGGCGTATCTAACAGGTATTTCGTTTGGGATTTCATGATCTCAGCATCTTATAATTGGAAATATCTCTCTTGCAACTTGCAGTGAGGTTTCAAGGCTCTCATGGAAGTCATGACCAAGTGGAAGAGGAGGCCCACATGATTCTGGGAGCCAGAGGTCCCTGCACAGATGGGGGACAGTGCTAGTGGCTGAGATTTGCAGAGCAGCAGGAGTAAGACCAGACACAGCTTCTGGCAGGAGCCCCTTTGAACCCAGAACTGCCTTTGTATCCCCTGCAGGTTTCCCTTTTCCACCTGAGCCACCATAAAAGCATTAGGAAATCAAAGAAGTTCTCTCTGACTCTGTGGACAGGCTTGCTCTGTGCTGATCATACAGCATCAGTACTCTCCTGAGTGTGCTCGTGTTGGCCTTCCCAGGCAAGGCAGTGAAACAGGCAGGGTGGATGGAGACCTTGAGACAGCAGGAAGCCCTGGGCAGCAGCAGCTGCTCACCAGGGGAGCAGGGAGAGCCTAGCACCAAGTTGCATGTTGTCAGTACTCACATTTCCCGTAGTTAATATATTGAACGAGAAAAAAAATATAAAAATATATAATATATTGAACAAGATATATAAAAAATATAATATATTGAACAATAAAAAAAAGAAGTGTTTCTTGTGCTCTTTTATGTGCTATGAGCTTTTGAACACTTAATTTTTGAGGTACCAAAAAAAAAAAAGTAGTGGTATGGATATAAGTATATAATCTGAACTCTTGTGGGGAAATCATGCCAGGCTGGATGAGGCTTTGAGCAACATGGGCTAGTGGGAGGTGTCCCTGCCCATGGCAGGGGGGTTGGAACTTGATGATCTTCCAACCCAAACCATTCTCTGATTCTATGATTAAAGCCAAAAGTAACTCTACTTTTGGAGGCTCTTTGTTCTTTTGCAAAAGAGCTCTTTTTGTTTCCCTTGGGAGTCCCTCCTTCTGCTCTTTCTTCCCCACCTGAAAAGAGAGAAAAAGAAATAATCTTTTCTCACTGCTACCATTTCTTCAATCGCTAGCTGCCATCTTCCACAGCACAAGCACTGGAGAGTTATCCTGAAAACAGAGTTCTGCCCACTTCATAAAACAATCCCTTAGGGTGAGAGGATGAAGCAATGGTATAGTTTGCCATAGCTGCCCCTGGCTCTCACACACAGGGTCTTATCCTCAAGGATAAGAACAGTTTATGTCCATATCACTCACCAAGTCTTTGGTGAGGAGTAAGCAAGCACTCCATCTCCCATAGCAGAAAGAGAAGAAAGTCAAGAGGCCAACCAAAGCTCTGTGGACACTCCATTCTCTGAGGTCCTTAGAGCTTTATTCTACATCAAGCCTACCTCTTTATATACGTTATGCTTAACTCCTTGCCAATTTAAGTCATTCAGTGAAGCATATTTAGTATGACATAATGAGCAGAAAGGGAGGTATTTTCCCCAGGTGTAGGTGACTCCAGAAGTTCAATGTGTGGGAAGCCCAGACGTGACATGAGCAGATAACGTGGTCTGCCAAAGCTTGCTTGCAGTACTCCAGCTGCCACCAGTTTTAGGGCTTCTTTGCTTTGCTTTCTCCAGAGTTCAGAAAGCAGGTGAAGCACATTGCTGAGTCTGAACTAGCAACTGTAGTTTAGTGCAACGAATTTCAGAAAACTCAAAGTAATGTGACAGAAATCTATATAAACACTACCTTGTGCTCGCTGCACTGTCTGTAGGTTTAGTTAAGAGAAAGGAGGGTGTGGTGGTTCTACCAGCTTGATGAAGAATTCCCTGTAAGAACCACACAGCCTGGAAGCAGTTATATTATACAGAGATTCTTTTCCTTTAGCAATCTAAAAATGCTGATAGGTGGTTTTGGTCAGGCGTATGAGCAAAAGGATAAATAAAAGCCTGGGAGGGGGAATAGAAAACAAAAGAATGATCTTTTGCTTGAAAGAGTTTTGATAGCAGCACATAGCCTGACCTTTTAAGATGGAAGGGAAAAAAAGAATCGCCAGCATCATTAATCCTTTTCAAGCACTGCATATTATTATTCCTACTGAATGTTTTACTTATGCTTATAAGTGGAAGAGTCTGAGCAATCTCCTATCTTCTGCAAAATATCTTGTCGGTTAGAAAGAAGGGAAGAAGGCTTCCCAGCCCTATATGACTCACTGAAGCAGCCTGGGAATTTGGCCTAAGATGGTCTCTTTTCTCAGCTGCAATGTAAACATAATGCTGTTGTTCTTGCTGCTTACAGATGGGGCAGAAGAACTGAAACAGTCAGAATACAGTGGGAGAAAAACAGTTCTCCATAAATAAGAAACGCATGTCACGGCATCAGTGTACACTGGATGAATAAATACTGCAGTAACGATGATCTCTCGAATGCTGATGCCTATCTGCATGTCTCACCTTCACGGCTGAGAAACTAAATGCTGAAATGTTGGGAAACTTTTACTAAAATGTGAGCGTCACTGTTACCCCAATCTGCATCCAGGCAGCAGGAAGGGCTTGAATCATTAAAAGTTTTTCAGTGCCTAGGAACAAGTGGGATGTACCATCACAGCTTCAGGGCACACCGCTGCATAGTAGCAATCCATCCCCTAGCAACTTTTGTTTCCATGGCAAAACCTGTCCTGTTTACTTTGAGCTGTACTTCGAGCTGATCCGGGGAGATGTGACTGAAGTGGCGAGCAGGAACATTAAAAGAGGAGCGTGCTCCAAGAAAAATTACCCAACAAATTTTCTAACTAGTTTAGATTCTTATTGAAGGGCTGGACACATTTAAAAAAAATAATAAATCATAAGGAATTGGCGTCGGAAGGGCAGGACAAAGCAAAGAAGGATGCGCCAGGGCTCCGCGACACCACACAGCCACCAGACGTGAGCCAGACGGACAGCTTGGACCCTTCTGCTCAGGGGACAGCGTTCCCGCCTTCACCTACAGAAAGCGCGGCCTCTGCGAAGCGCAAACACCCCGATAAATAACCTGGCCTGGCCAGCAGCCC